ATTCAACAACTTTAAGTTGGAACACGTATGGCTAGTTGACCTTGTGTCTATGATCCATTCATAGTTATTGTCATTCACTGAGAGAGCAGTAGTAATACCTGCCATGGTTGATGTGCTTGCAAGGTTTGCACTATTTCCAACATTTGCTGAATTATCTGGTAGGTTTTCCTTGTTGATCGGCTTCAACAGTTGATTGAATTTCTCTGGTGTAAATGTTGGTGGGCTCCTGAATCCAGTTGGATATAGGTGTACATCATTTGCTCCTGCCTGTGTGTTTGTGTCTTCTGCTATCACATTATGTGCACTATTTCCCCCCAAATCTCCTTTTAGGTTTGAAATCTGCTGGATATCCAATAAATTTAAAACATCCATCTCGAGTGTGTCCTTCCATCTTGCAGTAATCACAGAAAGCGTTACAGTTTTTCTTGAACCTTTGAGTACCTCCTCTACCTTTTGTGGTCATGAGTGTTGTTGTGTCCATGTTTTCTATAGTTCCAGAAGTGTTAGTCATGTGTCTTTGACTCTCTCTTTCTATTAGCATGGAGTATGCCTTGTTCACAGTTGGAACCGACACCATCACTAATATTTTGACTTCTAGCCTGTTTGTACGTCTCATTGAGCCCCATAAGAAATTTTAGGAGCTTCAAGCGATCCATGTATACAACAAAGTCACGAGATTTTTCACAGTCGGATCTTGGAATCGGAGCTAAGCTATCAAACTCTGCCCAAAGTACTCGCAATTTCGAAAAATAACCAGAGATGGAACTGGTACCGTGACTAATAGCAGCAATCTGTTTGTGTATCTGAAAATTCTTGAGCAATCTTGTTTGTCGAATCTCTCTTTTAGGTCACTCCAAACTGCACTCACGTTCGAAGAATATACAATCCCACTGAGCCATTTAGGTGATACGCAATTCATTATCCATGATAATACAATTGCATTACAACTTTCCCACAAATCTACGAGATTCTGCTCGTAATTCTCCCTTTTGCATGCGCCATTGATGAACCCTAGCTTGTTCTAACCTAGGATTGCAATTCGCATCGCCCGGCTCCACACCGAGTAATTTTTTGGTCCTCGTAGCTAGAGTGATATTAGAATCGCTCCTGAATTGTCATTCAAATTGAGAAATAACAGATGGTTGTAGCTCAACTTTTCTAGAAATTCATTGTCTATCTCCACCATTGTTGATATCTCCACCGATCTCCGATTTAGGGCTTTAATTTAGTAGAAAAGCTTCATAATAGTGGCTGCATGCTCTGATACCATAAAGTGATTTAGGATTCAACCCCTAGCTAAGTTACAGAGATCGAATCTATGAACATGGAAGAGAGATTGTGCAAAGTACTCTACTTTCTGATATCAGTAGAAAAAATAAAAGCTTACAGTTAGTGTGGGTGTCTATCTACTTATATACACATTTACTTGACAGTTGTCCGATCTAATCCACTAACTCTACAGACTAACAACTATGCTAACTAATAACTAACTACATGAGAATTAGTTACAACTGAAAATAATTAACAAGATAGCTAGCTAGCATTACGTTACATAAATACAAGTTTGCAAATGTTTGTTTAGATCAGAAATACAAATTTCAATATCAGGGGTTTCAGTTGGTCCAATATCTATATAAACATATAAAACAATGACTAATCGGTGACAAGTGGCCATTTTGATAAAAAGGTTTAAATAGCATTAATTATGTAAATAGGGGGAAATGGATAGAAATATTTTTTTAATTTATCTAGCATATATTCAACAACAGAACTATATCCTCCTTTCTTCTTGAAATTATGGAGTAAAAGAGAAATTTCAGCAAACTATTTGCAATGATAGGATAATAAGCTCCAGAAAACTCAAGTGTAGCTACATAAAAAATTTGTAAAGATTTTACAACATCTTCAATGACATCTCAAGTTCTAGATGTTAACAAATGGTTAAGATCGGTACAATGAGAATTAGTAACTTCAGTTATAGGTATTTTATATTTATAATAGCATCTTAAGAATAAATAAGTATAACCACCAAGTAACTATTTCTTCAGGCATGAGTCTTGGTTTTAGTCCATATTGTACGCATTTATTCTTAAATGCATTTTCTATCACTTCTATTATTTTATTGAATTACACCAATAACTCTTCTAACTAAAATGATCTCATTTCTAAATAATTCAAGGTCACTCTTAATAAATAAATTATAAATATGGCATGGACACCTCATATGAAATATTTCAGGAAGTGGTGGGTGTATATATAATTTTAATATTATAATAGTAGATTTGTTGTTAGAAGCATTATCAAATGATATACACAAATTTTTTTCTGCAAGATTATAAAATATAGCAACTTCATGGATAATATTACTTATAAATGCACCAGTATGACTTTGATCTTCATCATATTTAAAAGCAATAATACGTTTTTGCATATAAAAATTATCATATATCCAATGGCATGTTACAGTCAAATAATCATTTCCCTTAACAGCACGACTAATATTAGAAGTAAGAGAAACTCTACAAGAAAGATTGGCGAACAAATAACGGATATATATCTGATATTGTCTAAAAAGCCTAAAGATATCAGCTCTACAATTACTTCTAGGAATACCTTTAAACAAAGGGTTATAAATTCTTTGAATATAAGTAACAAGATATGGTGAAGCAGCAAAACTAAAAGGTAAACAACTTAAAATAATTGTTTTAGTTAATTCTTCCCGATCTTTTACTATATCGTATTTACCATTAACCGCCAGTACCCGGGTTAAGTTTTTGTTGGCCACTTTATTCATCAGCATCTCATGTAATAGGGTGGTTATCTACCATGTGCCTATGAAGTTGACCTGTTCCCCCCTACTTACCTTCGTCTCATGTTTATAAACTTCCTTACAAATTTGACATCTTACATATTTTTTATCTTCTTCTAGTCTTTCAAAAAAAAAAGTCCCAACACTTACCTCTTAATCTTTTATTCTTCTTAATAGGGAGGGGAGGTCTACCTGTATTACCATGACCTCCACCCCTAGTATTTTAACTAGCAGTACCAGGTGTAGGTAGTGGTATTTCAAGATTATCAAGTGATTGAATATCATCTAAATTATCATCTATACCATAATCTTCTTGAAGTTGCTCATAATCTACATTTAAATTTTCAGGTGAACTTTCAGAAATATGTGTAAAGCTACTAGAAGAACTAGTAACACCTCTTGCTCTTTTAGGATTTTTACTCTTACTACTACCACCCCTACTAGTACGTGCTTTTTGGCTGCTCTAAATATATCCATTATGTAAATTAAATTAAAATTAATAATTCTAAATAATAAAATAAAAATATACACTAAAGAAAAGAAAGAGATGGAGTGAGTGTACCAGGATTCCGGATGCCACACTAAATTTGATCACACTTCAATTGATATTTGATGATATTGAATATTGATACCAAACTTCACTTGAATATTTGATATTTGATATATAATTTTGTAGTGACTAAAGTAAATATTTGATGAAACTTGAGAACTTGAGAGTAATAAGCAATATTATCAAGAGAGAATTAGAGTAGCAAGAGAGCAAATTGTGAGAAAAATAAAGAAGAAGGGGGGGCTATTTATAGTTTTTAACAGGTTAAAATTGTAATTTGTCAATTATTAGGGTGGGGCTATTTTCTTAAGGGAGTAGGCCGAAAAGGCCAAAAGTGCAAAAAATGACCGCTGCCCAACGGTCATTTTCGAATTTGACCGTTGGCAATGGTCAAAAAAATAATAATAAAAAAATTGTGTTCAACGGCAACCGGGCTGCAGCGGGTTGTAGCCCGATAATGGATAACTGGGCTAACCGGGTTCCGGGGTACTGTTACCAAAATAGGCCCGCCCCGTCCGGCTCCACTCCTAACCCTCCCCAGCCCGTCTCACCCCCATCGGACCGAGCTAATCCGGATCAAATCGGGCTATCAATGGCCTGGCCCGACTCGTTTAACAGGTTTAGTGTGGAGTCGCTACTATTTCCCAACCTCACTAAATGTGAAAAATATGACATTTATTTCCTCAGAAACATGTGTGAAAATTAGCTTACATTGTTTGACCAATTGTCGATAGATAAAGAAAATTGGTTTTTAGCGACAGATACCTATTAGTTACTGTCCGTTTACCTATTTTCTTCGTCTAAATTTCTTGTACGTAATTTGGTTTCTAGTTCTGGTGTAGACTTGTGATGCTTTGATTTGATTTGAATACAGTCCACTAAGGACATACATGATTAAATATGAGATGAAGATAGGGTCTTTACATCACTAGTGCAATCTTAGCTATTTACGTAACTTGTCCAATTTAATTTGTATAGTTCCAGTGTGAGCACGTAATTTTTGCCCAACAAGAAACATTCCAACAAAATCCACAAAAACTAGTTTTTTCCTGTTTGTTTTTGAATTTATAGGATTTTAGGATTTTCTTTTAAATTGATTGTTTGTATTTAGTTGCATTTTAATGCATATTTTAATATTTTAAAATCATAGAAAATCATAAAAGTTGTCATATTTTAATTCCATGTCATGTTTGGTTTAATTGCATTTTAGTTATTAGAATTAATACATAAAAATCACAACAACAAAAATACAATGGTCATTTTTAGGATTAGTTAATTAGTTATTTGGTTTGATTTATATTTTTAATTAAGGATAACATTAGTAAGTAGAGGAATTGGTTAATTATACAAAAATAGATTTTAATTTAGGATTTGTGGGCATGTTTAAGTTTCAAATCAAAGGAAAGAAGGGAGGATTTGTTTAGCTTTCAGCAAATTGGGCCAAAGACATGATCCAACTGTCCAAGTGCCCAAAAAACCATCCACCCCCAGCCCAGACCCTTGCAAAACCGGTCCATCCCCCTTATTATACCAAACGACCATGTTTTTCCTTGTTGAATCTCAGCCGTTGATCTAATGTAAACTAATGGCTCACATCTGAACTTTCTATTACCATAAAAATGTCAGAACCCTCCCCCCAAAACCTTAGAGAACAATCTCAGAACTCTCTCGCCTCTCTCTTTCACCTCCACCGTCTGTCGTCCGCCGCCGGCGGAAATCGCTCCGTGGCGGCGGCGGCACTCCAAACACCCTCAAAATTTCATCAAATACCTCCCCCCCCCTCTCCAAATCCTTTGATTTCTCCATTCAAAACCCTCTGGTTGTTGAAGAATTCCAGATCCATGAATCTAAACCCGAGCCGCCCAAAAATCATCTCTGGTGACACCACTCCAAACCCCCTCAAATTCACACCCTATACTCCTCTCTCCATCCTCAATACAAACTTACCTCCAATTTCCCCAATACGACCAAACTGCTCCAATTCTAAATCCAAAATTGAACCCTAGCCTCTTGCCCCTTTTCAAATACTCGACCAATTTCACCATATTTATGTTTGAAATTTACATCAATTGAAAGCTCTTAATAAAAGCTATCTACTGATGTAAGATTCACATCGTATCTCGGAGATTGCATTTTGGTCTAAGCCGTATTTGGTCGTCGAATTTTCGTCGGAATTCTATGTTCGCTTTCTCTTAAAGATTAATAGGTAATTTATTTCTTGTCTTTCTCACTCATTCTGATAAATTCTCCTTTCTCTTAGTTTCTCACTGCATGCCTAGGTTAATAGCTAATCGCCTAAAAATATTTTAGCTTTCTAAATAACTGTTTGACTTAGTCCTACTTGAATTCTAGTCGATTGTTAATAAGTTTTTTGTTGAAATTACATATGTGCTTAATTGATAGGTTAGCTAGTTTGTTGTTTTTGATCACTTAATTTTAATTTAGATCAATTAGTGTTTGATTAGTAGTCATTGTTCTGTTTATTGAAAGAAGATAGTAGAGTTAGGGTAGAAGGCACTAATTGGTATTAACTGAAACTTAAGGAGGCTAAAGGGCATCGAAAATATGGAATCCTTTTCAGTTGTTTAAGGAAGTCTCTAGCAGAGACTAAATTGCAATAAAAAAACAGAGATTAGATCAGATTTTGGGGTTAAAAGGGTTAATTTCAGAAGATAAAAGTGTTGAAATTTTTTGAGTAAATATCTGAATGGATACTGTCTAATTCAGTTTTAAAAGATGCCCTTTCTCCTTATTTTTAGAGACTGCATTTCCCAAAGTTATTCCCTCATCTTTTCCTATATAAGATCTAACATTCCTTCACTCACACATACACACACTAATTCTCTGCAAGACACACAAAAAGCACTCACACATATAGGTTGATTTTCCCTTCACGTTGAAAGAAAAACAGTCTGAAATTTTACTTTGTAAATTCTTCAAAGCAAAAAAATAAGGAACAAGAGTCAGTTTTGCTTCAGGTTCTCACTTGTTTTTTATGGGTTTTTCCTTTGGTTGAGCTGCTGGATTTTTGCTCTTAATTTGAAGTTGTTACCTTGTTGATATTCCTGTTGATTCAGAGACTTATTTTCTGGTTTTCTGCTATTTTCTTGGCAATTAGGTACACTCCTATGATTCTGTACAACTCTGATCTTTAGCATAATCAAAGTTTTCTGTTTTAATATGGATTTATGACTGTTTGTTGCTCTTACATGATCTTATGTCTGTTTGTAAGTTGATTGGTCGATACTTGAACTTATCTCCTTGACATAGTCTTTGTTTTAGATAAAACAAAATGGTAATATTAGCTAGAGTATGATTGTTAGTTAAGTTTGGTTTCCTGAAGCATAAGTATGTCTTACTACATTCGTAGGGCTATTACTTTGCTTAATATTACTTGATAAAATTGAAATTTATGTTTTCAAAATCATTTAGCCTATAAGCACATTTGTTGTCTGTGTAAAGATGAGAAGCATCACATTGCAGTCAAAAGTATTTGGGAAGTTCAAATTATATGTGATTTATTTATTAAAGCCCTGGATGTTTGAGATTAAATTGTCTAATTCCAAAAGACATGAGAAGAAGCAGTTTAGTTTGGTAACAACACTTAAGTCCAGTATGTATAAAGGATGGTTAATTATTGTTAACTCAGAATTTGCAAAAATATTGGTGTAATAGATTAAGTCTATAGTTTTATTTTGTAAAAGTCGAGCAGATATGGTTAAGAAGCATTAGATTCCAAACTTCAGAACTGAAAAATTTAATTGTCGCATCTGCTTGTAGTTAATAAGCATTTCCTTTAAAATTTTAGCCTGTTGTATTTAATTACAAGCCAAAACTGAATTATAATGTCATTAATGTTGATTCTCTGAAAAGTAAGACTTTGAAAACTATTTTCTTACATGTATTGGACCTGGTAATGCTCAGTCCATCATTTGTGTTATTCTACTATGTTGGGCTAGGGAATTATGCCCTTGTAGATTTGGGGTTCAAAAATTCTAAATATCTGCGTGCGATCATTTTGTAACAAATTAAACAACATGATTCTATGAATTCAATCCTGTAGCCTATGATATCTTTATGGATGTAATCAAATTATTCCTATGTGCTTGGGTTATGGACGTATAGATTTAATATTTTGCTAGGTATAAAGTAGAATGCTGAATTGGGTTTAACCAACCCATTTCACTGGCCAAACCATGGCATGTAAAGATGTCAAAAGGGCCAAACATTTCAGAAAAAGCTAAGAGGTCTTGGGCCTTATTTTTAACGTATCCTTGCTTGCACGCTGACCTATTGGAGGTCCACCACGAGAGTTCAATTAAGATCTAACTCATACTGTTACTCCCTCTCGTTTGTCCAAAAGCATTGTTCCTCCCAAATGTTTAATAGTCAATTTTCTAAAGAATCACACACTTGTTAAACCTCCATCTACCCTTTATCTTCAACACAAAGTATTTTCGGATCTTTTGACCTTCTAAATAATCCCAAATCTAGTTTTAATCATGAATAACGGATGAATATCCTAGTTTGCTTTAGGCACGTTTAAATAAATCTTTCACGACCCCGGTTCTCCCTCCGTGAACCATCGTTATGGCACCTAGTCTCTATGACTAGGTAATCCTAAATTATGGAAGAAAAACAAAATTTGTGGAAGCAAAATAATTTAAAACAGAAATAAAGCAGTAATAGTGTTTAAATGTACCGCTCGGCATACACCACGTTTAACTCTCAATACCAAAACATTTATTCAAGACCCGAAAACCCACGAATCATAAGCTAAGATCAATACAACATAGCTCTAACTCTGGAATGTCTAATAAGAACAGAAAAATACAGAAGGACTAAATACTAAAAGTAGGAATAGAAAGGGACTTCTCGGTCTGCGGACGCGGCAGATGTACCTCGAAGTCTCTAGAGCAGTCGCCTCCTCAAGGATGATAGGCTTGGGTAGCGGTACCTGGATCTGCACATGAAAAACATGCGCAGAAGGGGCATGAGTACACCACAGCGGTACTTAGTAAGTGCCAAGCCTAACCTCGGTTGGGTAGTGACGAGGAAGGTCAGGGCCCTACTGAGGTTAAATAAATAATAAGATGATTGGATAAGATAAACAGTACAATTTAGAATCTACAGTAAGAATCTACACAGGATAACAAGGAGTACAATAACAGAAACAGAAATAAAGGCAAACATCAGGAAGTATCACTCATAGCAAGGATGATAGCCGGGGATCTCTTGGTATCCCGAGGATCTCTTGGTATCCTCAATGTATGCTAGGGATCTCTTGGTATCCCGAGGATCTCTTGGTATCCTCAATATATACTAGGGATCTTGGTATCCCGAGGATCTCTTGGTACCTCAATATATGCTAGGGATCTCTCGGTATCCCGAGGATCTCTTGGTATCCTCAATATACGTGCCAGGGATCTCTTGGTATCCCGCACCTCAGTTCAGATCATAAATACGTATAGGGGATCTCCCGGGATGCCGTCCCGTAGTCCCAAAGTAAAAACACACAGCAGCAACACAAGAATACCCAATTAAGCTAAACTTCGTGCCAAGTAAACAGTTAATTCTAGCATAGCATGCTTCATGTAATGCAATTAAGGCAGTTTAAGCAAATAGGCAATTAAGTCGACTAAACATGCTTCTCTAAACTAGCAACAGGCTAAATTCACAAGTAGAATAAAACAGAAAAAAAAAAGAATTTAATTGAAATACTTAAGTAAAAGCCGGATTTTCAACAATTAGCTCAAGTACGCACTCGTCACCTCACGTACAAGGCATTTCAATTATCAAATATATCATATCCTAAGGGGAAGGTCTCCCACACAAGGTTAGGCAAGCCACTTACCTCAAACCCGCTCAAAATCAACCCGAAACCACGCTCTTGCCACGAGTACTCGACTCCAAATGGCCCAAATCTATTTAATTCAATTGCATAATGTAAATAACACTTCAAGTAACTGATTCTACAATTAAATTCTAGGCTAATACGCGAAACTAGGTAAAATAACCAAAATGCCCCTCGGGCCCACGTCTCGGAATCGCGTAAAATTTATATTTCCAGAATCCTCACACACCCACGAGTCTAACCATACCAAACTTATCCAAATCCAATGTCAAATCCCCAATCAAAACTTGAATTTTCGGTCTAAGAGCTTTCCCCAAATTTTCATATAAATTTCAAATTAAATGATGAATTCATGTTTGGATTAATGGATTACAAGCAAAAAGGGGTTAAGAATCGTTACCCAATCGATATCTCTAAAAATCTCTCAAAATCTCGCTCAAATCCGAGCTCCAAAGCTTAAGTTTTGATAAAAATGGCTAAACCCTCGATTTTAAAATTTTATATTCTGCCCAGGTATTTCCTTCTTCGCGAACGCGAGGCTACTATCGCAAATGCGATGCACGTTCCACTGGCCAGTCTCCCTCTAAGCGAACGCGATGCCTGAGCCGCGAACGCGATGTTCAGTTCTCTTCCCCTACGCGAACGCGAGACTAACTTCGCGAACGCGTAGGCACCAAGTCCTACAGCCTCGCGAACGCGTAAGCTCCTTTGCGAACGCGAAGAGTAAATTCCACACCAGCCCCAGCTCCTCTTCGCGAATGCATGACCCCACTCGCGAACGCAAAAAAGGAAACCAGAACTGTGCTGCTGCAAATTTTTCTGCAATTTCTCTAGTTCCAAAATGATCCGTTGAGCATCCGAAACATCCCCCAGGCCCTCGGAACCTCATCCAAACATGCCGACCAATCCTAATACATCATTTAAACTTGTTCCAACCTTCGGAACGGTCAAAACAACATCAAAACACCTATTTTTCATCGGATTCAAGTCTAAGAATTCCAAAAACTCTAAAAATACGCTTTCGATCAAAACGTCTATCAAACCTCGTCCGAATGACCTGAATTTTGCAGTGCGTCACATTAAACACTACGGAGCTACTCCAACTTCCGGAATTCCATTCCGACCCTCGGATCAAAATCTCACTATCGAACCGGAAACTTCAAAAGTTCAACTTTCGGCATTTCAAGCCTAAATTAGCTACGGACCTCCAAAACACAATCCGAACACGCCCCTAAGCACGAAATCACCTAACGGAGCTAATGAAACCATCAGATTTCCATTCTGAGGCCGTCTTCTCACTGTTTCGACTACGGTCAACTTTCTAACACTTAAGCTCTCATTTAGGGTGTCCCAAAACTCTCTGAAACACGACACCGAACATCCCGGAAAATGAAAATAGCAGAATTAAACTTGGGGAAAGCAGTTAATAGGGGATTGGGGCGTTAATTCTTAAGACGACCGGCCGGGTCGTCACATCCTCCTACACTTAAACATTCGTTCATCATCGAACGAGCATAGAGACATACCTGAAGTAGTGAAAAGATGAGGGTAACAGCTGCGCATATCCTGCTCGGTCTTCCAGGTCGCCTCCTCGACCGGCTGACCCCGCCACTGAACCTTCACGGATGCAATATTTTTTGACCTCAGCTTTCTAACTTGCATGTTCAATATTGCCACTGGCTCCTCAACATAGGTTAGATCCTTGTCCAACTGGACTGAACTGAAATCCAATACGTGTGACGGGTCACCGTGATACCTCCGGAGCATCGAAATATGAAATACCGGATGAACTCCTGCCAAGTTGGGAGGTAAGGCAAGCTCATAAGCAACCTCCCCAACACGCCTCAATATCTCAAAAGGGCTAATAAATCTCGGACTCAACTTTCCTTTCTTCCCGAATCTCGTAACGCCCTTCATAGGCGAAACACGAAGTAGACCCCACTCTCCAACCATATAGGACACATCGCGAACCTTCCGGTTTGCGTAGCTCTTCTGTCTGGACTGGGCTGTATGGAGTCTATCCTGAATCACCTTAACCTTCTCCAAAGCATCCTGAACCAAATCTGTGCCCAATAGTCTAGCCTCACCCGGCTCAAACCAACCCACTGGAGATCTACACCGCCTACCATATAAAGCCTCATATGGTGCCATCTGAATGTTGGATTGATAGTTGTTGTTGTAAGCAAACTCCGCCAATGGAAAGAACTGATCCCAAGACCCTCCAAAATCAATCACACATGCACAGAGCATATCCTCAAGAATCTGAATAGTGCGCTCGGACTGTCCGTTCGTCTGAGGGTGAAACGCTATACTCAACTTCACCCGAGTACCTAACTCATGTTGAACGGCCCTCCAGAACCGTGATGTAAACTGAGCACCCCTATCTGAGATGATGGAAACTGGAATACCATGCAGATGAACAATCCCCCGGATATAAATCTCTGCCATCCGCTCCGAAGAATAAGTAGTACACATAGGAATGAAATGAGCGGACTTGGTCAGTCGATCCACAATCACCCAAATAGCATCGAACTTTCTCAAAGTTCGTGGGAGCCCAACTACAAAATCCATGGTAATCCGTTCCCACTTCCACTCTGGAATCTCCATCTGCTGAAGCAACCCACCGGTCTCTGGTGCTCATACTTTACCTGCTGACAGTTGAGACACCGAGCTACAAATCCAACTATATCTTTCTTCATCTGCCTCCACCAATAGTGTTGTCTCAAATCCTGATACATCTTCGCGGCACCCAGATGGATGGAATACCGTGAACTATGGGCTCCTCTAGAATCAACTCTCGAAGCCCATCAACATTGGGTACATAAATCCGACCTTGCATCCTCAATACCCCATCATCACCAATAGTTACATCTCTGGCATCACCGTACTGAACCTTGTCCTTGAGGACAAGGAAATGAGGGTCATCATACTACCGCTCCCTGATACGATCAAATAAAGAAGACCGAGAAACCACGCAAGCTAGAACCCGACTGGGCTCCGAAAGATCCAATCTCACAAACTGGCTGGCTAAGG